AAGTACAGATTATGAACCATGCATCATTTATTTTATTTAGAAACATTTTATTAACATATTTATTAAACTCAGTCTAATTGAAATAAATTATATAAAAAATTGAATTCGAATGTGTTATAAATGTACATTGGTACGAATCGTATATATTCCATTTTTAATAAAGTATCTCGAGTTTCTACGTCCTAAAAAAATTGAAAAAAAATTTAAGAATGTTTAGAATTAAAAATCAAAATAAATTTATATGATGCGAAGATCTCATTCTTTAAAAAAAAATATTTTTTTTAGGTAAATTATATTCAATTTCAATTTTATTTTTTAAAATATCAGCGAATAACAATTTGCTTATTTATATTGTTCTAACTATTACAAATTTTTATTTAAAAAGTCAATCTACCAGATACTTCATCAAATAAACACAGAAAAAATTAAATTTGTATTTATATATTTCTTCAACAATCAAAAAAAATCTTAGTTATTTATCAAGATATTTTTAGATGCAAATTTAATTTTCTTTATTAATTACCAGAATAAATCTACATAAAATCAGCATTAGTGACCTGATACATCAAATTAACAGGAAGTAAAATTTTGGACGTAAATATTTTTAAATATTTAAACATTTAAACGAATTGTCTTCAATAATAAATTGCGCTCATTAAAGCGAAAGAAAACTCTTAATTTGGGAATAAATGATGCACATCGCTCTATCCAGTTGAGTTTGCAATAAACGTGATTGTGAGACGTAGAATAAACGAACTTCACTCTTCGACACAATCTATTCTTCCACCGGAGAGTGAAAGAAGATAGAATGCAACTGAGCATGCGTCTAGCCGAAAACTCGAATACCGAACTGGGAATAGAATATTTAAATCACTTCCCTTGCAGCGGAGCAATTGATTTCAAATTTTCAGCGTAAAGTTATAAATAGCGTTTCCACGTGTAAAGTTATAAATAGATACTATAAAAGTTAAATGCACAAATTAAAACGAAAATAAACTATTGATAGTTATTCTTTTTTTTAATGAATAATAACTTTAAATGGATTTAAATTCTATGTATATTTTTTAAGATATTTCTTTTGCTACTATGAAATAATATAAAAAATTGAAATATTAAGCATAAGAGGAAAAAAATCAAAACAAGCAGACAGCGTAAGCAAACATAATTCCTTTTATTACACATACATGTTAAGTGAATAATTTAAATTTCAGTAGAAAAATTGTTTTCTGCCAAGAAACAACATTTATTACGAAGCTATCATCGGGGTTGGTAAGCGGCAGGGAAGAGGATACTTAGCCCCTAGTTTATATATATATATATATATTTAANGTGTGTGTGTGTGTGTGTGTGTGTGTGTGTGTGTGTGTGTGTGTGTGTGTGTGTGTGTGTGTGTGTGTGTGTGTGTGTGTGTGTGTGTGTGTGTGTGTGTGTGTGTGTGTGTGTGTGTGTGTGTGTGTGTGTGTGTGTGTGTGTGTGTGTGTGTGTGTGTGTGTGTGTGTGTGTGTGTGTGTGTGTGTGTGTGTGTGTGTGTGTGTGTGTGTGTGTGTGTGTGTGTGTGTGTGTGTGTGTGTGTGTGTGTGTGTGTGTGTGTGTGTGTGTGTGTGTGTGTGTGTGTGTGTGTGTGTGTGTGTGTGTGTGTGTGTGTGTGTGTGTGTGTGTGTGTGTGTGTGTGTGTGTGTGTGTGTGTGTGTGTGTGTGTGTGTGTGTGTGTGTGTGTGTGTGTGTGTGTGTGTGTGTGTGTGTGTGTGTGTGTGTGTGTGTGTGTGTGTGTGTGTGTGTGTGTGTGTGTGTGTGTGTGTGTGTGTGTGTGTGTGTGTGTGTGTATGTGTGTGTGTGTGTGTTTGTGTGTGTGTGCTGTTCTTCAAAACATGGTGGGTAGGAAGCCGCAATTTGGAAATATGGCCCAAAAGATTTGTCAAGCGAGCAGTTGGTGAATTTTACCACTTAACGTTGATTTAAGTCTTTAAGTATTTCTCCATGCCTCGAGAACGTTATCATGAAATCGAAAACTTTTTGCCCCCAATTATATTTGTTTATCCAAAGATATTTCCCCACAAAAATGATTTTGTAAGATTATTTTATTTATGGTTGGAAACATTTCGAATTATAAGGTGTCCAATCTTTTTCATCATTTAAAAGAAATGCAGCAATTGAATGAATGAAATTTTTAGAATAGTTCTCAAAAATTAAAATTGAACAGTGCTATTTTTTTAAGTTTAACAACTCAGAAACATTTCTCTGAAACTTCGTATTTTTTCATTTAAAATGAAAATTTTTAAGTAAATAAAAAAAAAAACTGCGCTTTTTAAGTAAAATGTTTAACTAAAATTGAAAATTTATTTTTGTTTAAAATTCTCTCTGGAGAATTGAATTTTATAATTGTATTAAAAAATAAAAGTTTGAGTCCAGAATTTTGACTGCTCCCTTCACGCAACGATTGAAACCGTATATTCCAGATTGCGCCTACGCTCCACATTTTGAGAATTGAAATCCGAGTGTCTCAAAAAAAGGTATGTTTATACAAAGAAAGTACATTTTTATGTCTGATTGTTTTCACTAATTGATTAGAATAATTGAGTTCAGGCCTTCGAACCATTTAGATTTAAGCTATAAAATGAGTAATTTCTGTCATTAGATCAAAGATTTATCATGGTGTTCCATTTTTTATTCCAGGAATTAAGCATAATTTTGTGGTTACTCTTAAAATTTAATCATTAATGATATATTTTCTCTAACTTAGCATTGTTAAGTAGTTAATATTGCCAAAGTTAAGATTCTAAATTTTTTAATTTCAATAAAATCTCATGTAAGCCTTAGTTTAGTATAGTTGCTTGTATAATTTTGTAATTTGTAATTGTCCGCATAATTTGTCAATAAAACTATCTAAACACATGGTTCTTTGTATAACAAAAACAAAAGAAAGAAATTGCGGAAAAGGAAATAAATTTCATTTTTTTAAGTATTACATGCAAAATTATAATTTTTCTGCTTCGTTTGGTTTAAACGTAAATGTGAAAATGTTTTCTTGTAATTCTGCTTCACGTTTTTTTCTCTTTTAAATTATTATCATTTCCTTTTTGACAATCCCAATTCCATTTTCTTCGCTCAGCACTTTTTGTAATGAATGTGTCAGTTTCCTTTTTTATTGTAAAGAAATGTCCCATATTATTTTTATAAATCAACAAAATTCGTGTCAAACTACAATATTGAATAAATATGTGTCATAAACTTATTTTCAGCCAACAAGCTTTTAAAGTGAGATTTTATAAACAAATGGATGAAAAACTTTCATTGACAAAGGTCGTGGGCAAAAGAAAAAGTTGTAAAGGAACTAAAATAACAACAACAATAATGAAATATATTCTCCTAATGGGAATTGTTTGAATGGAAAATTATTGTAATTGCTCGATTCTATTTAATTCTGTTCAAAATTTTAAGATATGTTTGAGATATTTTTTTTAAATGTTCTGTTTTTAGTTGACAGTGAAATTTTCTATTCCATTAAATTACATTAAAAAAACCATTAATTCAAAGATTTGTTTATTTATTTGTTTGTCTCTTTTGCTTTGAAAAGAGCAGAATTTCTTAAAACAGAAAATACTATCGCAAATTAAGGCAAACATATATCCAATAATTCTGCATTTGTATTTTGTATTTATATTATAACGTGATTTGTAAAAAGTAAAATAAATAATTTTGAAGTTTAATATTATCTTGTGGAGTTGTTATTCGTTTTCACTTAAAGTTTAAAAATATATTTGAAAAATATTTTCCTGTTGCTACATTCCCGTTTAATCTTTTCTGAACGAAGAAAATAAACTGAATTTTGAAATAAGTCAACTTCTTTTATTTCTTTAAAATTCGAACTGTTTTTGGTTGTAAATGCAGACTTGCTCGGTTGAAGTATTTCTTTTTGGAGTCCAAAATCCATTTTCCAACTCTCGATCAATATTGTGTTCACATTTGGCTGCGAAAAAACGTACATTTCTTTGTCTAATATTCAAAGCTATTTCAAAAGCTGAATGAGAAATATTTTTAAGAATTCCGAAGTCTCATGATCTGTGTAGATGCATATTTTCTTATATTTTTCCATTTGAATAATCCATATGCTTAGGTCCTTCGTTGAATTCTAAATTTTGGAATGAGCATTTTTTTAAAAATATATAAACATGCATTATATTAGATTTAACTCATTGTGTGCTAAAATTGTTCCAAAAATATATATAATGAAACGTATGAACGTAAAATTTAAGTTCGTATAATGAAAGAAATTACACTCAAAAAGATTAAAAATATTTTTAAAATAGTTAAATAGTAAAATTTGCTTTAACTATCATATCAACTTTTTTTTTTCAAATATATCATATAATAAGTAGAAATTAATTAAGTAACAGATACTTAGGTTTTGATAGATTTTGTCATAGACAACTTAATTTTAAAACTTTCTTGATGCATTTTTTAAATTTTATGTTTTTAATTATTTGCTTTATTTAGTTAATTAAATAAAATTTTGAATACAAATACTCAAAATGGCAGAGGAAGCTCGTGTCAAGAGGTTGAACAAAACACGTAGTGCTTTCGGTATTCTAAATAAGTTTTTGGCATACGGGACTCTTAAATTAAACGAAAATACCAATAATTAATGCAAATTTTAAATCTGTTCTAATAAACGAATTGAAACTTGGTACAACTTGAAATTAATTACAAAACATTACAGTTCTTTTTTAGCAAATTTATACGAAATATATATATATATGGAGCAATTGATTTCAAATTTTCAGCGTAAAGTTATAAATAGCGTTTCCACGTGTAAAGTTATAAATAGNAATAACAATTTTCTAGGATATATAATATTTTATAACAATATAAAACATGAAGTAAAAATAAATAAAAGCAAAACACCAATACTAAAACTTGAATTAATGAAATCAATCTATTGATGATTCGATGATTTTTTTGTTGCAATAATATATGTTATTTAATAATTACATTTATTACAGTGGTAAACCAGCGTTTCAATCCTGTAGTTCACAATGGATTTGTAGTAAAAGGAAATACTGCTGTTCTGAAATGTCACTTACCATCATCTCTGAAAGACATTGTTTTTGTCGAATCATGGATTAGAAGCGATGGGCTAACATTACGCAGCAAGGAAAACAAAGGTAATTTATTTATTTTTTAATTAAAGGCTACTTTTTTTATAAATTGAAGCTTTCTTTAATGTAAGTATGATTAATATATATAGAAATAATTTACATAATTAATAAAAAATTGGATTAATTCAAAGCACTTCAAACCAATTTTAATATACTTACCAATTATATAAGCAGTTTTAGGGCACAAATCTCAAATGTGGAAACGCGTATAGCATGTATTTTTATCTAAAATTATAGGTTTGGGAATGGAACTTTATGTTTATAAAGCTGAAATAATACTCATTATATTTTTATTTTATTTCTAGAAGTAGTACTTGATATTCATCATTGCCTAGAGTTAAACATTTCGCTTAAACACACATAGAAAAAAAAGTAACAATATCATAAAATACCATAAACAAGTAATGTTAAACAATAATTTAGCATATACAAAAGCAATAGAAGTCAATAAGTCTGCATGGCCTCCAGCATTCAACTAGCTCTTGTAATCTCTTTCGTATCACCAGAAACGGTCGTGTCACCAAAACGCTCCAAGATATTCACTATACAATCACTATTACACAAATGAAATTTTAGGGTAGATAAACTATGTAGATTACTATATTGGTTACCAGGAAGTAAAGATGAAATTGTTGGTTTTTTGGATTTATATGGATAAAAATTTATCATAAATGCATCACTTATTTTATCATAAAAGTTTACAACTAATATTTGCTTTTTTTGCAATCAAAAATTAAAATTATAAATACAATTGATGACAGTTAGCTAATGTTTGAAACTAAGTGTAATGTTCTTTATTTGAGATAATATATTAACATGTTATCTCAAATTTTTAACATTTTTGTTAACATGTTTTATAGCTACAGGTTTGTTTAAAATATAGTTTACCTGTGCGATATATTACATTAAAGTTAATAAATATAAATTAATTAATAATATTTATTAATAAAACAGTAAAAATGAATTTATTTAAATTAACGATACATATTTTTTGAATACATATATATTTTAACTATTTTTTGCACAACTAAAAAATTAGTCATCCAGTGATCTTCTGTGTCATATAAATCAGAATAAATTTAAAAACAAGATCGAACCTTCTGAAAAGAATTTTAATTTGAAACATCCCAGAGCTTGATAAATTTAGTCGACGTATTTCAAGTAACATAAAAACTGTTTTCTTTTCTGAGTACCATACCCTTTTTAGGAAAAAAATCATCTCAGTTCTTTTAAATAACATAAAAAACGCAAATTTTTTTTTTATTTGGACTATATTATTGAAATTATCATTCTGTCAATATGAGGTAGTATTTTGTTGCAAAATTCTGCTGAAGGTGTCCTGAAAAGGAAAACACCTTATTTGGCGAAATATAGGTCATTAACCTCAAGTTCATTTACATCTAGACATAATAACATTAAAATAGGTTTCATGAATTTTTATATCATCAAATACTTACTTTCAATCACTTTAAAACAGAATGAGCTATTCCTTTCAATTTTTAGGAATTAGTTTTAAATACATATTCAACAGGTTATGGAATTCAACAATAACCTAATGGTCTTAAAAACCACAAAATTTACATTTGATAGCTTATTTAAGAATTAAAATAAGGACAAAGGCTTTCTAAAAATAAAATTGAAGATAAGAGCTACCCTATTGCAAACAAACTTTAACCTTTCATTGAAAATATTTTCTATCCACTACGAAAATTGTTTTCGTATCAATATTTAGTATTACCACAAATTCCAATATTTTCTCAGATGCGCAAATAAGTAAACGTAAAGGAATTAAAATCCAATTAAAATGTTTCAAATTTAGCTGAGACTGACAAGATGAGCTGTTTTCGCGAGGATAATATTTATTTCTCTCATTTGGGAATTCATCTTAACCATTTTCTTTGTAATCGATATTTTAACTTCGCCACTTAGAAAGTTTTAATCCATAGCGCGCGAGAAACAACGCCCACGTTACTGAAACTGCGTGGGAGTTCTGACTCCTACAGGTAGGGGAATACCCCTTACCTGTAGGTAGATGTTTCTCCTATAGGTAGCTTTTACGTGGGCGAAATGATTGGAATACTATTGAATATTTTGCATAATGGAATCATAACGAATGTATAATGCGTGGGAGTATAAATTTTGTCGAAAAATTTCTATTATATGGGATTTTTAAGAAAATTTAAATTTTAAAATGTCAAAGAACTATGTGGAATATAAATTGCAGTATTTTAAAATCTGCTGTTTCCTTAAAAGTATGTAACCGATTTTCCGTCTTTCATTTAAGGAATTTAAATTTGAAAAGAAAATTGATTTACATTTTAGTGTGAATGAAATTTTATAGAGAATTATTTTTAGAAAATTTATTTATCTCATTATTGTCGAATAACCAGTAATTCATAAAGGATTAATTTAAAAAGAGGTGATTTAAATCGAAATATTGCTTTACAAACACCCGTATTTGTTTTTGAAATATGATTGTAAGCGTGGGATGTGCTTTATTTGCTCCGCGTATATTAATATATATGTTTTTTTTAAATATTTGCTTTTTAATGTGTAGTTTTCCTTTCTAAAATGTTCAATGAAAATAATTTTAAGTATTGTGATAAAACTATACGAAAACGTAAAGGATTTAAAAATTATTGTTGCTTTAATTGATAATAAATTTTATATTAAGTTTCTGCAATATACACTACAGCATAAATATTAATAATATTGCCATTATTTAGTATTATTAGTATAATCCTAGAATATATTTAATAACATTGTTTAGCTTGATGGCTAAAGTGCAATAACAATTTTCTAGGAATCAGCAATGAATAAACATTTTAAACTCAAACCATATCTATGCATATGCATATTACGTTCAAATAAAAATTATAAAATAAGTTCAAAATAAGCGAAAAATTGTGTTCTTTCTATATATGTTTTTTAGGAATAGTTCGAACTTGAAATAATCAAAATTAAATATAATATTCGACACATTTTACTTCTCTATAATTAATATTTTAGATAATTTTTTATTAGATTATTCTGAATTAAAAATTTATTTTAAAAAGAAATTTGGAAACATAAAATATTAATTTTGTTAGATGTTTTGTACCCTGATTAACAATTCAGGAACAGTCGGTAAAACCAGAATAATATTCAAATTCTATGAAAGTATTGAAACCGAAATCGAAAAATGGAAACTTTCAAACAATAAGTGCTGAATGTGCTTCAAATTCATTAAAAAAATTAAACTTAATGTCACTTTAATTAATTATCATTATCAAGTTATATTTGCATCTAATATATGGACATTTATTTTTTTTTCTTTACAGCTCGGTCTTACACTGTTCTAAAGTCTGGTGAGCTCCTGATACATGAATCACAAGAAAAAGATTCAAATTGGAGTTACCGTTGTCTGACAAGAAACAAACTAACTGGTGAATTGGTAACCAGCGTCAATTTTGGTACCATAACTGTTACAGGTAAATTTAAAATTAATCCTGGTAACAGCACTTATTCCCACTGCCCAAAAACCAATGAGATCCATTTTCAGCTGATGACTTTGGTGGGGGGGGAGGTATTGCATATCAGAAATGCAGGCATTACAATTGTACGTATTATGAAAAGCAACCCGCTGTGNATATATATATATAGGGTGGAATTGTTTCCTTTCTTTTTTTCAGCAGATTGCTGAGCAGTCTCGATGATTACGATTCTGATAATATTAAGATGTTAATTTTCAAGAGATAAGATGATTTTATTTTTGAGTCTGCAATTAATTATAAAATAGGTACTCACAATTATTATTCACTTCTCAGTTTAGCCGCAAGAATAATGACTTAAATAACTTGTTCTCGGAGTAAGTTTCAAAACATGCGCTGTAAGATACATTTCTCTTACTCATTGATCGATATTCAGCATTCCTTTTAATGAAGTTGAAGTTGAACGAAGTGCTTCGGTTAAATATTGTGATATTTTGTTTTTTTTCTTAATTTTGAAGTAATTTTTCAGGAGTTCTTACGTGCAGTTTTTTGAAAAAGTGTTCCTAAAGTTTCCAAATAAATTTTGATCGTAGTGATATTTTTCATATTATAAAAAATTCCAATAGACATTCATATATTTAACTGATACTATATTGTGCGTAACAATCCAAATCAATGAAAAATTATTTAATTACTCTTCTCTCAATAACTCATTTATATTTATTTTAGAGAGGTGATAGCACAAAGTTAAAAAAAAGAATTCCCTTTATTACAGAAACGGAACTTTTTTTCCTCTGTTACTATCCACATGAAAGTCATTTTAGGATATCATTTTATATTCTATTCTGAAGAGTTATAATAGGAGGGATGAAAGAACTAATTTACAAGACAGATTAGGTATTTTTTCCTATTATTGTCTTTCTATATATGGGATGAAATCAATCCGAAACTGATAGAACTAATATTTAAGAATTTATTGAGGTTTGATACATAAGGAAGTATATTTTGGCACCCATAAATTTTTCTTCATTTAGCATTGATACACAGGGAGGAAAGCCATTGTTTCTATAAACTAGCTAAGGATTTTTATTTTAAAAATTAAAAGTTTTTAAGTGCAAAAAGTAAACCAATTTTGTACGTATGCAACTTAAAGTAAGAACATTTGTAAATAAGTAAATTCTTCATTTCAGCCAAATTATTAATGCAGTTGACATAAATTTGGTTTTATTAGATTTCGAAATACGTAAGAAAACAAAACGCATTACTTGTCTTGATGAAATATTTGTGATTTTTTTAATAATTTTTAACTGAATCATTCGTAAATTTTGAGCAAAAGGAAGATCATATTTGTTTGAACTGAAGGAAATTAATAACAATTTGATTTTAAATAAAATATTGATTACTATTGTTTCGTTTTCCTACTTATGATACATTACAAACTATCATGCAATATGTGTAAAAAACACTGAGAATATTACTTCATATGTCTAGAGAGGAAGGTCAGGCGTATAATAATATATAACAATAAGAATTAAGTAAAACACTGTACTTGGCACACACAAAAACTTTTATTTTCATAATTAAAAAATTGATTATTCTTCCCCCTTGGTATTTGTATCCTTTAATTCAGGGTTTAAAAAATCCACAGACAAATTTGAGATAGTTTAAAGAATGTTCAGGCAAATCATTTTTAAATTTCGAGCAAAAAATTCACATTTATTTGAAATAAATGAGGATACTTATAAATAGATTTTTAGTACATTTCAGATTTATCATTCATTACATTTTCCAAACTGTTATGCAAGGCAATAAATGAAATTTAATTATGTTCGTAATTAAATTATTTAGTTAGCTTTGAAACTTTAATATTGAAAAGTTTCAAGGATTAAGATAAGAAAGGAATGATTCAGAAATCAGATAAGAAAGTAATGATACAGCTTAACAGAGTTCATCGATCTCAAAATTACTTTGAGTATTCTTGAAATTGATTGCATGATTAAAGAAGTTGAAATGATGAAAAAACTTAATGAAAGCGGAAAAACCTTTCGTATATATTTTTTTCACAGCGGTATTTTTTTAATTATGTTTATTTCCTAGGAAAATGCCGTAGCTTGTAATGAGTTGAAATTAAAATGCCTCGCGGAAATTAAGATTTTTTGGGGAATATCATAATAATTTATGTTACAAAAGTAAAACAAATCATTCTAAGAACACAAAAGAAGAGCAGTTAAAAAAATTGTAGCCAAACTTCAGACTATTTTAAAGTTTTAAATAATATTTTTGTTTCCTATATGACCATTCATTTTCATATTTCAGTTTTCAGCATTATATTGCATAACTACATTCGATTCATTTTGTTTTCTATATGATGCATGATATTCCATTTAATTAAAATGAATTTAAAAAAAAATAGCAAAACTTAAAAATTGCTTTTGTGAAATTCCCTATTTTTGAGGCACTTAAAAACTCTGATATCATTTGGTATAGTTTTAGTTTTTGATACATTTTTAAATAAATTCAGTAATAATAAAAATAAATTACCTTTACTTAAATGTAATTGATAATTTAATAAATATAGCATAGCAAACTTATATATATATANATATAGATATAGATATAGATATATATATATATATAGATTGATATATATATGGACAGAGTGCCAACCATGTACTTCCACGGTCACTGAACTATGCATAAACTTCTTAAGGCGTAAATGTTTTCCATCATATATTACGAACTTCTTTGCTTATTGAAACTCTATTTAACTCTTTTGTAAAAATTGCTTTCATAAAGCACTTAACTGATAATTTTTTCTGCGATCAACTTTTGTTTGCGTTATATATATAATAGTTAAATAGTTTATTTTTTTAATTTCTTTTTAAAATATTATGAATCGAATGTGTTTTAAATTATGACATTAAAGAAGCATAAAATCAGTTGATGGAATCTAAAAAATAGAGATATGAACATCGAAGCTGAAACTTTCTTTTTTTTCAGAAGCTATTAAAATAACTTTGCCATTTTCTAATAATGTACTTTAACATTCAGCAGTTCTAAACGTCATGTAAATAATTGTTTTGTACAAATATATAAATATTGAGCTTTTTTCTTCAGTTGCGACTTCTTCAGGCAACAGTTTTAACAATTTAATATATTAATTAATATTATTCTGCTTTAGTTGGTTGTTTTACTTATTTATCTTATCACTTTTAAGAGCCATGCAAATTGCGTTTACAGTAGATTATTGAATTTGAGTGAGTGTGAAGTAAAATTTGCATCAAAATAATACATAAAATAACAATTCTTGGACTGCTGAGAAAATTCTTAAAACTGTTTCCTATTAGATACAAAGTCGCACTTTTTAAGCATATATTTAAAAATAATTTCTGTGTTTTGTTATTTAAACAACATTTATATGATACTGTTTTCATTTAAATTTTCAAAAAAACTTTTATATTTATTCATGAGAATACTAAAAAACTAATCTTACTCATCATTTTCTATATTGGGATCGCATGAGCGCCACTAAGTCTAAGTTCCTCTATCTATTATACCCCGTAGCCCTTATTTGGCTCCAGATAGACCTGAAACCAGGGAACAGAACAATTACTTCGATAAATGACTCTCTTGAGAGCTTTAAATCCTTCACTTCATCGGCCAAATGAGACACTCACGGTAAACAAATACTGCATGGATGAATCAGGAATCGAAAATTGATCACTTCAGTCTTGCCACTCAAACATCTAATTTTACCCTTAGAAAACAAACGACTCCGACAGCTAACATGGAAACTCATCTTCTAATGGTATTTTCATAATCTTAAGCATCAAATCGTAATACATAACATATGAAACACTATGCATTAAAATCTTTGCTAGTCAACCCTTTACGGTACGTTACTTTGGGGCCAATAACATGAACAAAAACGTGAAGTATTTATTAACGACAGTTTAAGAAGAATCTTGCGTATCAAGTGGTTCCATAAATGTGAATGTAGTGTATTTTTATAAATACAAACTCGAAATTTGCTGTTTTACATTTTGAGTTAATTTGATTAATTTTTTAATCATAATGAAATTTCTTCCGGAATTAAATTAATTGACAAATTAATTAATATACATATTTTTTTTTTGCTTATGCATTGCATGGATCTCATTTTTTTTCTTGATGCTCAAAGCACAAATGAAATGGGATAATAGAAAAGTGTACAAAGTTAGTCATGAATATTTTATTGTTTTCAAATACCTCCCTTCAATTATTTATACTAAAATAAACTCTCAAATAAACCTTATTTAATATGTATAAAGCGAATACAATCGTAAATTTTTACTTCAAATAAGCATTTATCATCTGAGCCAATAATTTTCAAAATCTATACTAGTTTATAAATAGTATAGTATAGAATAAAAATTATGTGAATATTATAATTTAACTTTACATAAATAACATATATCTATCGCTCATTATGAATTTTCGCAACAATATTATAATTAAACATGCATTCTGGCTTGACTTTTAAAGTATTTTTTAAATATATATTTAAAAATTGATAAATAGTTGATTTATTTGATAAAATAATGAAAAATTGGGGCAAAATGCGCATTTCATAAATAGTAACTCTCTCTGTAGGTGAGTAATGAGACAGAAATGCATTTCATAAAGCCATTCGACAGAATCATTAAATAAACTATTTTCTGATTTCTTGGAACAACATTTTACTCTTATCGACTTTAATTTAATTCATTAAATTTTGTGAATGAATTCTATTGAAGTGAATAAGATGCTTTAAGATCGACTTTTATTTTCTTCCTTCTCTGAAATATGGAATTGTTAACCTTAAAGAGAATATGATTTAAATTTCAATTTTAGGAAAATAATAAAAATGTATTTAAAGGTTGATAATTTAAGAGCACCTATTGTAATGTAATATGACCTAGTTTAAATATTGAAAATATGAATATCAGTTTGAATAAAGTAGAATAATTTGCTTTTCTTTAGCAGAGGCTCTTTAAAACCCCTTTGTAATTCCTTTAAAAAATTTAAACAATTAATTTTATTTCCATGTTTTCTTAGTAATAAAAAATAGAGTTTAAAATTGAGAGTAATATCAAATTATGTTTCAATGGAGGCATTATAATAGCTATGTCAGATAAAGTCAATTAACGTGTCGTCTCTGCGTGAATTTAGTATCTCTTGTCGAGTTAATGGTATAGGATGCTGAAAGACATAGAATAAATATCTGCTGAAAATAATTATTGATTTATTCCGTAAAGACACACTATTATAAGCGTTCAGAACAGAAAGCTGGAATCTAGGCATGTTTTGGTCAGCTACAAATAAAATGAAGTCAAATAATTTGCTTTCGTTACATTACCAATTTTATTAAACAGCTTAAAATATTTCTGACTTAAATTTAACGGTTAATAAAAGGATTAGGATTTAAAGAGATTAAAATGTCGATAATGGGAATTGGATGTTAGAAAAACTGTTAAAGCAATCAGATTAACGTCAAAATTTTTTTAAAATAGCTGTAAAAATTTAAATAAATTGAACTGACTTTGCATAATAGAAATAAATTTCAATAAATTATTACGTGCAAACTTTGAATTTTTGATTTTAGTAAGTTGAGTACAACCGTGAAGATAAAATATTTCTCCCAAGAGAAACTAGTTTATATGTTTTAATATACTTTATTTTTTTTAAATTTATTTCCAGAACCTCACACTTCTACTTTGCCTCGAGTGACTTTTCATCTGAATCAGGCGAAAACAGAGGAGGGAGGAAATGCAGAGCTTCCATGCATAGCTGAAGGAAATCCGGCACCATCTTACAGGTAAGCTCTCATAAATTTAAGTTAACATAGTTCAAATTTTCATTAAGAGAGCTGGACAATAAAATAAAATATTATTCTCAGAAAACAACCATAGTGAAATAAAACAATAATAACATATCTAACCAAACGTATATTTTTTTAATTTTTTTATTTTGGATAACTGATATTTTGTATCTACAATTTTGGATATCAGCTATATTGTATCTGTTGCATTGTTGTTATACCAACATCTGGTGAATTATCATTTATTTATGCTTCCGCATCTTAAATTTTCAGTAATAAGTAGTCGATGAAATAAATCATTATTCACAGAAACAACCAAAGCAGAATTAAAAAAATATTAATATATATAATCGAAATTGACATTTAATATTTAATATTTTGGATAATAAATTTTGTATTTATTATTTTGGATGGTAGATATATTGTGTCTACTGTTTCGGATTACACATATTTCATATTTACTACTTTGGATATTAGGCATATCGTATCTGCAACAGTATTACTATACCATTTTCTTGTAGATAACGTATGATTCATTTAGGTTTATGTACTTTAAATGTTAAGAGAAAGTTGGTTAATGAAATGAAATGTTATTTACTGAAAGCAAGTGTAACATGATAAAACAATAATAGAAAATCTAATAAAAGTATTTTTTCTTCTGTTTTAGATTACAGATAAATTTTAGATAATATTTTGAAAAACATGTAATTTTTATCTCTAATTTTAACGTGAGGATACCGGTTTGTCGAAATCTGTTCTTTATTTTTTGTTTAATAAGTATTTCGGTAAAAATGGGATATTTAAACATTAGGGATCTTTCTTTGTAGCATTTCTTTCTCCCAATAACACCCTAATTAATAAATTTTAGCTCATTGTTCACGAAATGGATGACGAAGGCATTTCAGTTGTAAAATTCTGTTAGCTAAGTATATGAGTTATGAATAATGAATCAAAGAAATTTACAATTTTTAAAAACATGTTAGTTGTTTTAATTGTTAAGAAAATACTTCGTTTTTTAAGAAGTAACAATTATAACCTAAAAAATAAAAACTTTGTAGGGTTAAATGCATTTTTTGCTTTTTCTTTTTAGACTCCCACATTTAATAAATTTTCATTGAAATAAAAACTGAATTTCGAAATCAAATAAACTTACATGCAATGTCACTGGCTTTAAGTTTCTATATAATACAAATTAATAAATAAATGATCTACAACTCTAACTTATGTCTTTGGACTTCAAGTGCTACATTGTCAAATATTATCTAATTTTTTTCAAAAACTTTTCCATTAGTTTAATTGTAAAATTCTGAGTACTATGAAAAATACCAAAACAGCAACAAGAAATAGTAATAAACCAAAATTATATTAGATCAATAAAATGCTAAAATAATAATTTAATTACTTTTTTGTTTAAAAAAATAATTTGGGGCTTTGAATGCAAAAAATAAATATATTTTATTCTTATTATGTTTATACTGTTTACTTAAAAGATAAAAATTACGAAATATGTAAGTTTTATTGTATTAAAATGATAAAATCTCTTAGAAATAAAAGACAATCGAAAGTATTTAAAAAAGGTAAATTGATGCAACATAATTAAACAAATTAATAAACCCTTATGTCTTCAAATTAAATTAACTCAACTGCAAATTAAATTCATTTTAGCAATTTCAAAAACTTAATACCCTTGTCTTCAACTCAACTATGAATTTCCACACCAATTGACAAATGGTCTCACAATATAGCTCTATTCTCCCGTATTAAATCAAACACAAAAGATACATACCATTATTTTCGACATCATATCAAGCGTTCCTCTTCGAAATTCATTAAAATATTTTTGGATGAGCAGTTTTAATTTATATCTATGTCAAAATTCTATACATCTTTGCTGTAAACCAATGCAAAGTGACGTGCTCTATTAGAATTTAAAATGTTTTTATTTGAGTTGAGTTTTTGTTGTGGACACGTTCGTTGAAAATCAGCTATCTCTTCATGAGGTAGAATTTCCATAAAACACGTTACTTCTTTTTTAAAAAAAAGTTATTGTTCTTTTTTTAATTGCCGAAATTTTTATTCTATGAGAAGCTCCTTAAGCAACGTCCTTGTTGAATATTTTTTGAATTGTCAAAAAAATAAAGAAAAAAATATACATTAGTGAATCTCTTTTAAAAATCTAATGAACCAGAAACGAGAAGTTGTTAATTGTATTACAAAGTTCCAAATACAAAGTGAAATTTTTAGAAAAGGCTCTTTTGTCTTAGTATTTATCTAGTATTCTACATAAATTTTCATGAAACGTACTTGTTTTTTTTTAAATGAAACTAGGCCCGTTGTGTCGGTATTTAGATTTAAATTTTTACTAACTTTGATGTTGAAAACAAAGTAAACAACTTGCGAAAAATGGCAATATTTACAATACTCTTAGGCACCATAAATTCATCTATATATTAACACAGATACCTTATGTCAAAGATGCTTCAAAGCCTTAAAATTTTTCAGTCATGCGAAATATTATGTTTGCTTTTTCATAGCATATCATCCAGAAGAGTAGTAATCCATTAAAATGACGAAACTGGAGTTCTAACAGTAAATCACTTTGGGCATTCTTAAAGTACAGGATACAAAATAAAGCTATTAATTTGTTTTTCATCTTCTCTTCATAAAAATACACATGCGAAAATAAGGCGATGAATTTTCATCATGCGTGCCGCGTAACTCATAATAGTTTATTTTTAAAGCCCATTTTTATCTACAGAATGTTTTATTCTTAGTGATGCAAAGTCTGCTCGAAAAATAAACTACTAACTAGCATATTTATTTCTTTTTGTTTACTTCTCTGTCATGTGATTTATACTCTTTGTTTTATTTTTTTTATTTAGTTATGTGAGTGTATTTTTTATGGCAGCCCACATTTGTGTTAAAAGCACTAACTTTTTCTAAGTCATTAATCTTTGTTGCCAAGATCTTTTTTTTTATTGTTGGCAAAGTTAGTGGTCTTCTAGAAACTTTACTTAACGCTGAGGTATAAATTTATCTATAGCCGGATGTTTTGATCTTCCACTTGGAGAATTTTATTGTATATTTCAATAAATTCTGTACACAAAAATAAGTATCTGTATTTTAGTAATATTTTCAAAATTAAATGGAGGATTTATTTATATGTATAGTATATTTTTACGTTCATTCTAATATGCTTTTTACCCTTCACTCAATTATATTTTTCTTTCCCTTAAGTAATTTATTAGAAATTTTATAATTAATTTATGATGTAATTTGGATTAATTTAAAAATTAGATATGATATATTTTATCACAAAAAGAGAGAATAATTTTAAATTTCCAGACATGAAAGAAATAGAAGGGCAACATAACTACATATCAAACATTTTTTTCTTTTCATTCATTTACATTCATTTATGAATCCAAATAGAAATATTATTTCCAAGGCTTAACTAAAAACATTTTTGGCAAAAAAAGGTCACATTTTTTGTTGAATTATACTTTTGGGAGTAATATATCTCATCTAGCATGTGTTTATTCCAAAATTTATCGCTGCAATTACAATAAAACCCCAGCTAGGAAAAAAAAGATTTGATTATCGATAAAAATATCATTCTCTTAATGTCGAAAAAGGTCCCATTTTTATAAGCGAATGATAGCTTCACAAATGTTTCAAAACTACATTTTCACAGGAATATTTTAGCATTTAATAAAATATTTTTTCAATATGCTGTATTTTTCTCCTCAAAATAATATTAAGGTGTTTTATTTTGAGACATTTTGAACAGGCGCAATTCAGAATTGAATAAGTTTTTTTTTCAGTATATAATTACCATAGTTCTGCAAAACAATAGAAGAACATTAACGATACAAACCATTAACAGTACAAAAACATTATCTGATAACCTTTTTTTAAAGTATTTGACAAATATGTATTATATTTTAGTTATTTTTATTATAAAAATTTTCGTACGTTTACGCATTTATATAATGTGAATTTTTTTTATTTATGTTTTCTAATAAATTATTCATATTTTATGGCTAGCTTTTCAAGTTTCAATTACTTAAAATAAAAGAATAAATCTGTATATCTATTCTTCGATTTATTTTTAGGCAAACTTAAACTGCCAAATGCAAATGTACATGCAAATGTTACCCAATTTATCAATATAATTATGACAAATCCAGGAAACGCAATACATTTATTTTTCTTTAAATGGACTTAAAAAGCTGAATAAACTGTTTAATAATGTTGGGAATTTGCATGAAAAAAAACACAAATCAAGGAAACAAATTAATGGGTTGCATACACAAAAAAATGATAATTTTAGCTAATTTACTTTTACTTTTAACTTTTTTTTCCTTTTCTATTTATTTTAAAATTTTTTCGCTTATTGAATGCTTATTAAATCAAAGATAACTTTTTAAAAAACGCTTATATTATTAATTCTTCATATCAAAACAAGAAATATTTCGCTAATCTGCCAACAACTAGTCTATAGGACTAGTCTAAAAGGAAGGAAATAGAAATAGGACGGACTCAACTCGAAAAGCCTAACTTGGGATACATGCCAAATCGGGCTTATTTTCGGCAACTGGAAAAAGATTTCAGCAAAATTCCGTTTATTCAGCATTTTATTTTCTCGATCCACGAAAAATAAAATACCAAGTATTATGAAATATTCAGTCTCGCGTTCTAATAAGCTTTAATTAAAAATATATGATATTATTCTGATTCAAAATATTTGGTTTCAATAAAAAGTTAATAGATGGGGAAATATAGAATGGAATAGAACTAGATGGTTTAAACTGACTGAAACTGCCTAGGCCGGAAACCGAATGAAGTGTCTAAGAAAAATCACACTGTTAAACAGGATTCTTTCACATATGAAGAAGGTCATTCTTCATATGTGTCTGAGGTCACTCCTTTGAACCCTTAACATTGAAACCTAGAACGTGAAGATCTGATCATTAGATCAAAAGTTATTCAGTTTTATTTTGCGCACTAAGCATTGTTTTTCTTCTAAGATAATAAATAAATAAAAACCCACGCAAAGGGTCATCATAAAATTAATCAACTATTTTCTGATGATGAATTCTTCTACTTTGTCCATGAAGTATTGAATTTTTTTAGTGATTAAAAACTACCTTGTTCATGGTTTTTTAACCTACAAAATAAAGACATAATCATTCGGGACACTACTATATTTTCAACTTATAACTGACTGCTGAGTTCCTTACAGATGATTTCTTATAAATACTTAACAATAAAGACATTAATTTTTTTCTTATTTTATTAGATGGATGAAAGATCTTAATGGTATATTGAAACCAATTAAGGAGGATGGACGAATCCGTATTAATCAAGGAACTCTTCATATAGAAAAAACTGCCAACTCGGATTGCGGGAAGTATCAGTGCATAGTCAGAAACACTATTGGAGAGCGACGAATAGAAACTACTTTAAAAGTTTCTGGTAAGTAGGATGTAACTAGAAATATTCCTACTATTTTACGCAGAATGATGATTAGACATTTAAAGTAGTACAGCTACTGTAGTTGCTACTTTTTTTCATAGTTTGTAGTGTAGTGTAAAAAAAAGTAGTGTTGTGAGTTGGGCAATACAAAAAAAAAATAAATAAACATTAGCTTGCAGCGATTTGTGCCAACTACTTTCAACATTAGAAAAAAAATAGTAACACTGCTGTAACACGACTAATTTTTTGAATCTTATGGATACAAGTCTTTGCTGGTCTGTCAATGGATGCAATGGAAAGCGATAATAGCGATAATGAATGGAAAGCGATAATGGATGCAGCTGAGCGATAATAGAAATTACGAATTTAAAATCACGTATAACTACATTTAGCTAACAAAAATCACGTAAAATCAAGTATAACTACATTAGCACAAAAGCTACATTTAGCTGCATTACAAATGGTTCTTTGGTGTATTCAGTAATATAAATACTCGCAATGAACCAGAAATCCTAATTAAATGTACAGCAGCTTAATAGACAGTACATAAATATAAGATATGTCAGTAAATAGATAATCATTTCATGTTTAAAATTTAAATGCAGGTTTCCTTTAGCTCCATTGGTTGAGCAGCTAAAACCAGAATAAGGAATAGAAAGCTACAATTAGCTGCATTATGAGTGTTTGTGTGGTGAGCTCAGTGATATAAAAAATAGTCACAGAATGTACAAGAAATGATTTTGATTGTTAAATATACTGTTAATACAATACATTCATAATTGAACAAATAATATATGAATTATTTAAAACACAATGAAATTAAAAACTGCAAATATAACTTTTTTCTAGCTCCTTTAGTTGTGCAGCTAAGTCCAGCTCATCAGGCACTGAATATTGGTCAGGAAGCTACATTTAGCTGCAATATTAGTGGTTTTCCGGTACATTCTGTTGTGTGGAGAAAGAATCAACACACCCTTAAGACAACGGAAAGAGTTCATCTTCTGTCACGTGACGTTTTGCATATCAGATCTGTCAGGAGAGAAGATAAAGGGATGTATCAGTGTTTTGCATTCAGTGATTCAGATAACGCGCAAAGCACTGCAGAACTCAAAATTATAGGTACATGTTTAAATGATTTACTCTTAAGAACCTGTTATACAAATAAAAATTGTCTTTACGAATCTGTTCCTAAGGAATAAATTGAACAATTTGCGCTGAAAGAGATTTGTATGTTTAAAATAATACTTACCAAAACGTTATGCGTTTTGTTTAAGTTTTAGTTTATGCTATATTTATCTTTTACTTATAAACAAACACTACTACATTAAAAAAGTTAAAAAAATCGGATTATAAAAAAAAAAAATACGATACATCTCATTAATTAGAGATTCTAATTGCGGCTATGACTGGCTCATTTGTATATTGGTTTTGACCTGCATATTTCTGGCCATATTTCTGGCTGATTCTATTTAAGCAATTTTTAGAGAATTAGAATAATTTAAGCAATTTTTCTAATACAGCTGTGCTTTTATTAATATTCTTTAACCAAAAAAAATAAATTTTTCTCACATTTATTTTAATTAATTAAATAGGAAATGTTTCATTCGAGTTTTGTTAAAGTTAAAAACTATCTCTAATGTTTAGTATAATACATTCTTTGTAAAATCTAAAAAATATAAAGCAATATTCCAATGCAATTTTGTTTCTGAAATTTAGATATTGCTCCAGTATTGGTTTCAGCATTTCCAGAAAACATCGTACATCCAGGCGATGAAATATCTCTTCAATGCATTGCAACTGGTAATCCAACCCCCCAGGTGAGATGGTACTTTGAGAGCAAGTTGATTGAGGATAGACCTCGCTTTATTGTCAGTGATTACGTCAATGGACAGGGACAAATACTAAGCTTTCTTAATGCTAGTGACATTCACCTTAAAGATAGCGGCGAATACCAATGTCACGTCACCAATGAAGTCGGAAGTCTGTTTCATTCAAGCCGTGTTAACGTGGTTGGACCTGCTTATATCAGACGAATGCCGAATCTAACTGCAATTGCAGGAGAAGACTTAGTAATTCGTTGTCCTTATGGAGGTTATCCAATTAAAGAAATTATTTGGTTGAAAGGTAAATATCCCAATGTGTTCTTAATTATAAAATAAATGCAAGGCACTTCATTATAGAATGACAGGGAATATTTTTTATAGAATATAATTTATTTTATTTTTATATTTTTATTTTAGATGGCATTCTGCTGCAGCTCTTCGGAATAATTTTTACAAATTTAGAAATAGCTATATTTGATATTAGCTACTGAAATAATCATTTATAAAGAAAATTAAATTACAAATCCTTCCATCATCCATCCTTTATGCCAGCATGAGAGATGGCATGTGCTTTAGTCTCCATAGAAAACAATTTGGAATAATTTTAAAACTTTTGAAATTTATAAGGTGAATAACATTTTGCAATAATTGGTTGCTTCAACTTTTTAAGTATCCTAAAGCAATGCGCTTTATTTCCATCTGAAAAACCTACATTTATTCTAAGGAATTAAAATATTTCTTGCGAGTTTCAAACCATTTTCTTTTTCATGCATTATGTTCTGTACATGGATTTTTTATGCAAAATAGATTTATTCAAGTGCGTAGCCGTTTTGATTGATTTTCAATAAAATTTTTAAATAAAACATTCATTTCTGCATTTTTTTGATAGCATAATTCTTTGTCTGTATTTTCACAAATTCTTAAATTTATTCTTCGTACCATTCGTATTGTTCGCAATAAAAAATTCCAAACCTAAATTCATTCCTAAAACGTTGCTCCTGGATAATGCCAGGATTATTTTGAGTTGTTCTGATTGATGTCCAAAAAAATGCCTAGATTATAATAAAACACTTTCGAATATTTTAAAGCATATCTTTTGTATTTGTCATTTATGGTACATCCATAAAGGAACGCCACCCGCATCATAATTATTTTGACAAATTTTTCTGTTATTCCATTTTATAGATTGCATTTCAAAGCAAATCAAGGTTTTATGCGTTTTACAATAATTATGTATTTAAAAAAAACATTCTGTTAATACATTTAAAAAGAAACACTTAGAAAAACTTTATCTTAAAGTTGGCATTTAAATCTTGTATGTCTTTAAATTTAAGTATTCAAATATTCCAATAATTGTTATAGCTAATAATTTTTTAGAATAAATTCCTATGGTAATTGTAACAGATTTCCCCAAACGTTTAACAAAACGTTTGATGAAGGAAAGCATCAAAACATCCAGAATATAAAAATGATGCGCAAAAAAAGGAAAAAACAAAGTTTCTAATTAAAGTCTTTGAGCTAGAAAAAAACACGTTTAAGTAGCGGGAACATTTTTTTTCATTCTTATTTTATAAAAGTATTAGCGTTTCATACACTGGTTTCTCTTACTTATAATTGTAAACAATTCCGTGTTGATTATCTCTTAACATTCGAATGATGTAAAAAATTTTAAAAAACAACATTATATAAGCTCATAAGTACTGTGGTTAGAGGGTGCCTAGAAATGCTTTTGCTTTGAAAAATGTATACTACTTTGTGTTAAAACACCAAATGCAGGTACAAAACAAAAATACTATGCAGTTATCACAAGAACTCCTCTACACAACAGACTTGCCCTATAGTTGCTACTGTGTTTAAGAAAATATGTTATATCGAATAGAAATGTAAGATTAATTGTTCCACATTGATTGAGTTGGGATAGTTATGTTATTCCTTCAGCTGTTAGAGATAAGAAATTGTTTTACCTTATTTACCATAGTTAGAAACTTTCGAGTTACATCATGAATCTTGCTATGGAAAATATTCACTCATAAAGAGAGAGCATGAAATTAAAAAAAAACAACAACAGTTGAATATATTTTCGGTTGTCAGATGCTCTAATTTCCTAATTCAATTATTGATCCTCTGATATTTTGGTCATTTATTCAATTTTAAATTTCTCTGAACTGATTGCAGAACGTATTATTGAACCGAATCCGTCTCCGTTATTTATATTTCTTGTGCGACATTATTCAAAAATTTTGTATAAACGCATTCTTAGTTGTCTTAGTACATATATTATTCAAAAGGTGACCTTAAAAATGCAAAGTAATTAATGCAAAGATATTTTAAGATACCAAATCAGGAACAAAAATGTACTTTCTCTGATTAAACAAACCTTTATTTCAAAAAATTCAGATTTCGGGCCTTTAAAATATACGGCGGTTAGCCGTATCATGGAAGTATGGCTCCAATAGTTTGGTCATGGGAGCGGATCAAAGTTTGGAACACTTAATGTAATTTTACTTTTCGAGTATTCCGCCATACATCGAGAACTTTTTTTAATTGAATCAGAAATGTTTTGCACATCAATTTGAAATTTGTTTATCCAAAGATGCAAAATTCTATTTTGAATAATTATTTAATTTTTATTATTTCATATAATAATATTTTAAACAATTTTGAATTGTAATTTATAAATAGTTTTGCACCATTTTTAAGAATTGTAATTTTAAAAGGCAAAACTTTAAATTTGAATAAAATGGGTTGAACAATTCCTGGATTTTTAAAGAAGTTTTTCATTTAAAAAAAAATCGAATTGCTTAAAAAATTCTCGAAATATGATGAAATATTCAAAAAGTAAAATTAGCATTAAGTTGTCCTAGCTGTGAACCGTCCTCCTGCATAGATTGCAGCTACCACCTATATATTCCAAATGCATTGATAAGAAATATATTTATTTGGAAAACGCACTTTTGTGTTCTGATTTCGTAATTTAAAGTACCGTCTGCGATAATTAATTAGCAAATTTAAAGTCAACCCATTGGAGCATAAAGACGGAGTTTTAATGCGGCAAAAGTAATTCCGTGTGATTCGTTTAATTGTTCCAGCATTATACATGTTTTATGAAATTTATCTATTTGTTAAGATGATTTGATTAAGCCTCGTGACTTATTAATACTTGTATTTGGTTAACTGTAAATGTATTTGAAGGTGGCAACATCCTTCCAATGAATCACCGTCAGAAGATCAGCCATACAGGGAGTTTAAGCATTCACAGTGTGGAAAGGATGGGAGATGAAGGTGAATACACTTGCATTGTTGCCGATGAGAAAGGTGAAACAGCGAAATCGACAATCCATATATATGTTGTTGGTGAGCATTCAGCTTCATAGTTATTTAATAAATGCAAGGTTTTGTTTACAACTAATGAACTAATTAACTGAAAAATGAATTCGTAGTTTTAAATTTAATTCTTTATTTATGTCTCTATGTGAGTTTAACAAAACTGCTGCACGGGGAAGTGATGCAAACTAATTTGTAAATGGCGATTTGTATATTGATGTAAGTATCATATAGTACTTGAAATTTAAAAAAAAATAATTCTAACAAATTTCGCAATTAAATACGAAAAAAATCTATGTCTAACGTATCATTTTAATTAGAAAGCTCAATTTTGCACAATGACGCTTCTTCTCTTTAAAATGATTTAGAAATCAATAAAAAAATGCCGTTGGAATAAGTCAATTTTTTTACTCGTTATTTCCTTGAAAAAGAATTTTTATTTCCTATGAGCTGAACAATCTGTCATCCCGATGAGCAGACCTAGTGCGTTCTCCAGAAGTGGTATCCACTCTTTCAGGATTGCTACAATGGGTGAGATACCGTTGGCCATGTTAATTTGGACGTCTAGTTTCTGTCACACTAGATGGCAGCACCGTGATTCTATTTGTCTAAATTTAAATAATATTTCTGAAGTGCACTGGGAATTTAATTTTGCCGGAAATGCCAAGAGCCAATAAGGCACTTAAGGATATATTTTACATGCCGCATAATCATACGACATGGTCGCTGAGGATTTTCTGAATCCCGAAAATAGGGTGTCTGGGCCGGGGATAGAACCCGCATACTTGGGCTCAGAAGGCCGACGACAAACCAACTGCCCCACCCAGCCACCTTTAAAAAAGGATTACCATGTAAATTATTTAACTAATGTAACTAAACCTTTGTTTATTACCCAAGATTAACTATAAGAAACTAAATCCGACTTCTTTACAGTGAGAAATATGATTAACTTTAGTTAGTAAACTCCTGTTACTTAGATTATATTACCAAAACTTGTTTTTGATTTATTTTAGGAAAAAGTTTAAAACTTCTTTCTTTAGCAGTGTAGTTTAGTTTAACTGAAACTGTAATCAGTTTTATACAGTGACGTACTTTTTTGTCAGAAAATGAACAATGCGCTTTTCATTGTTTAGATTTTCAATTAGTTTTCGAGCAACAAAATAGTTAAATTTTTTTCATGATTAAACGTCAACCTACTTCTGCAACTTTTTTACACTTTACCCCAAATATAATAAATAAATTAACATAAAGTTTAATCTATAAGAAAATATTAAATCTATAGTTATAAACAAGAGCTAGGTAAATAGAGTGAGCGAAGCAATTTGAATTGACGGCGTAAACTGTTTCGGGGTTTTATCGAGCATTACGAAGAAGGACACTGAAATCACTGATTTATAAATTAATGAATTTATATTTTTAAAGTTCATTCTTACCTTTGAAATAGAAAACTATAAAACCAATTTTTTTTAAATACAGTCATTTTTGGAGGTTTAAAAATTGAGTCTCGTCCTCCTTAACTCATCTTCCAATTTTAGCCTGAAGTATTCCTATTAAAGAAAAATAATAATAAAAAATAAAATATAAGATTTTGTTAAATTACGTCCAATAAATTATACTATACTCTCCGGGCATAGCAGAAAACGAAAGAAAAAAATATTGGAGTTACATCAAAAAGGAATCCATTAATATTATTTTTTGATGTAATGATTTTAAGAATCTTTTCAGATATCATATTTTATGATTGGTATTATATTCTTGTAGATTTCTAAAGCAAAAGTAACTTTTCCTTTCGGAGCAAATAAATTGATTTTGCAATGAAGATATATATATTACGCTTTAAAACATATTTCATTTCGTAACAGGGAAAGAAGAGGGCTTACATTTTATCTAATTCATGAAGAACATTTTATCACACATGTTTTTATTTTTTATTATAAAGTCAATTTCTTTTATCTTTTATATCTAGACACGATGATTTGTTTCACCGAATCTTGTGTCAATGCAGTGTAATGCTATAGTATACATCAAATATATTAAAATATTTTTTTTTAATATCCGTTAAATTTAGAGTTGGAAATCCTCAGATAAAAAATTAAAAAATATTTAACAAAATCAGATTTTTTTCCAACTCGTCCCAAAAAAGTCTGAAATTCGACATAATCTCACACCTAACGACATGTTTATTTTGCGGACGTAAAAATAAATTTATGTATGCAAAAATTTCTTATTTTATTTATAATCCTGTTTTGTCGACAGATGGAGTCACAAAACGATGATAAATTTTTTGTGGTACTGGCTGTCAGCATATGTGAGGATATTTCCATATCTCAATAACCGTATTCACTAGAATGCTAAATTGTTACTTCCTGGTTTTTGCGCAGTTCTAAAGACCTGTTTTTACGGTCCAAGTAATTGAATCCTACGACTTGGAGCAATTTCTCTAGAATCCCATGATTTGGAGGAATTTTTGTGCTCAAGGAATTGGATTGATTGTTTCACACTACTCAAGTTCTTGAATGTCACGGATTGTACGGATAAAAAACATGCTCATACAAATTGGTTCTAATTCCTGATTATAAAAATCATGCTTACATAAAGGCAAAAGTACAAAATAAAATCATAATGATACAAATGGATCCAAACTGATTAATTTATTTGCATTGGAATATGAAATGACAACGATATGCAACGAAATGAAATAATCATATGCACTCTCACCGATGTCATGAAACTTTAGAAGCTGATTAATTATGGAAAGAAAAATTAAGATGGAAAGTAAACCATTCTCCACCATCATTCAAAGACTTGGACTAAGAACTTGGATGATCTTTCACATGATCCAAGCTCTAGACAAAACAAATTTTCATCAATTTCAATTAATCTTGGTCCAGCAACTTGGACCGTAAAAACAGGCCTTAGGGACCCTTAATTACCCTTCTTACGTAAACATCCGTTATGAAAGTGGAAACAGACCGGTCAATTAGTTATCAGGGGTGTTAGCCAGAAGATACACGCTATCCATTTAACCCTCAAGTTCCATTGCGTAAAATAACCGCTCCACTTGCTATCTCTACTCCCCTTTTTGATTTTGGCTTTTCGATTCACCTTCGTTGGCTGTTTGTCAGCTTTCCATAGTATGCGTGGGCTATCAGTATTATATACATTGTTTTTTTTTTCCTTCCACTCAAGGATTTTTCTCATAGTTTTCTAATTGCCTCGATGTGACTAACGATTATACTGGTAACTTTTCAATTGTTTCACAAATATATCTTGTTTTAAAATTAGTTAGAAAATTAAAACTTTTATTTAAAATAACTATGTGCCATGTTCTACAGTTCCTCCTGTGCTCGAATCTCATTTTTTTCGAGATGTTGTTCCGGTGGATGAAGGTATACGTACAAAACTGATGTGCGTTGTCACAAAAGGAGATCCTCCCATCTTCATTCAGTGGTTAAAGAATGATCAGCCATTTGTTTCCCACGGTGATTTAACAGTTCAAACCTTCGAAGATTCTTCCATTTTGGCATTCAACAAAGTGTCTTCAAGTGATCGAGGTTTTTATACATGTGTGGCTTCCAACATGGCCGCCTCGACAAACTTGACCACGCAACTAATTGTAAATGGTAAGTTTAAATTTTTAAGAATAATGTGTATTTATATTGTTCCTTTTACATATTGATCCTAACGAATAAAAAAAGGGCATTACTTTTTTTTAAAAAACAGACATTTGCAGCTAAGTTGTTTAGCTTTATTATATTTTAAATTAGTGTCTAATTTAGCGTAAAAGTTAATAATTGAAGTTAATAATTTCGGGATTCATTCAATAGTTACTGAATAATTTGCACATTAGTTTATAACATAAACGTTATGTGATCCATTTTTGATTAATTTATATTATGAATTATCGATAATACTAACATTTAAATCAAAAATGACAACAATGGCTTTTAACATTTTACTCATTGCAATTAAGGTCAGTAAGAACAAATGAAAGAGTGGAAAAAAATCCTAAAGCAGCAAATTTGAGAGTGGAATTTAGAGGTTTTGCAAGAATATAGAAACATATTCCATTCTTTCTAGACTATATGTTGACTGATCTCTGTCGATTTTCCTCTTAATGCTAAATCTGCAAAGTTGCTTATGATTTTTCTCAATATTCTTAAAAATATATATTTATTGAAAGTGGACATTACAGACCTGGTTATCAGTTTTTCTGCTTATTAATAACAAAACAAAAGCAACCAAACCCAATATTCAACAGTTTAACTGTTGTAAAATAGCCACTATCCCTGAATAAAAACTTTTATTCAATTCCTTTTCTGAACTCTAACAAGTCGGAAAAAAATTGAAAATACTTTCTGTATATTTTTGTTTTCACAGTTCTCATTTCTTACATGCAATTTGCAGACATTGGAGTTTTGACAAGGTGGAAAAGTATATACGAAACTCATGTAAAACGATGTTAAATTTTCAGGTCTATATTAATAAGATTAATACGGACAAACTTTAAGATAAATTAATATATTTTTGTTATGTTATTAGTTCAGTATTTAAATAACAAATTTATGAATGAATTTTTCATAATATTTATAAATTATGTATCATTATATTTCATGCTTTTAATTTGTTTATTTTCGAAGGAAACCTAATTATTCGAATTGCAAAATTTTTATAGTACCACCTACATGGACTATAGAACCAAGAAATGCATCAGCAGTACTTGGAAATACAATTTGGTTAGATTGTGGAGCAGATGGTTTTCCAGCTCCAACTATCTTGTGGAAAAAGATGATTCGAACAGGTAAATGTTACTACTGATATCGTAAATGTTTCTTAAACATTTCTCGCGCGTTAACAGAAAAAGTAAAGTACTTATATGTAAAATTACTATTGAAACTAATCCAAGCATAAGCTAAGCAATTCCAAGCTAAGCAATTCTCTTAAGTCATACATTATATAATCCTTTACAATTTTTATTCCTTCAAAATATCTTTCTTACTTAACACGAAGACAGGCAAGAACCGCGTAAAGCATAAACAAACTAATTATGCATAAAAGTTGCCAGTTACACAAAGCAAAATGAGTTAAAATAAATTACATTAACAAATAATCAATCATTTGCAATCATAAATCAATAAATAAATAATTTATAAATAATAAATCGAAACAGTTATATTTCAACAATTGCAGTGTGTGATAAGGCGCTGTATTTATTTAACTTCTCGTTAATTAACGTTCTAATTTAGGTGGAAAAATTTAGCTCAACTTTAACGCACCTCTTTATTTATGAACGATCAGCTGACGCTGACGTCATAGGTCACATGTCTGGTTATGTTTGATCTTTTTCTTCTCGAAGTGCAAATACCCAGTAGTCGAAATTTTCAAAAGTTATTTCAAAATGTTCAGAAAATGGTTTCCTTAAAAAAAGAGAAAAAAAACCCCGATAGGTCACTAGTTTGTTTCTATTCATTTTGATTTTTTTCAATTTCTTTTTATTTTATTTTTGGATTAATTCATCTCATGGACTTTTTCTTCTTTTTTTATACATTCGCAAGAAGAATGTTAAAATTAGCTTTAAGCATTCTTTTAAAAAAACTTCCCCATAGCTAAAAGGAAAAACAAAATATTTTTGCAACGTAATAAGCTTTGGGTTGAAGTGAACAGTTACACGAAAAATGAGGCTGAAAACAGTTGATTACAATATTTAAAAATGTATGGCGTGAGGCTTAGGGCATTTTCTAAAAAATGAATACTTCCTAACTAAGATTTATTTTTTTAGAATATTAAGATGTATGTCCTTGTAACACGCATTACAACTAGCTTTTATAATATCAAATTAATGAGATTAATGTGGTCAGCGAATTTCCCAAAGTTATTTTTAACTCAATAAAAAGTACGAACATTAAACATAACACATTTCTTAGACTTATAGATTATTTTAAACATTGTAATTACTAATACAATATTTATAGCTACTTTAATAGCTTCTGCTAAAATTTAATATGTTTTCTTCTTTCATGTAAATATAAATTACACACAATTGGTCTTAATCACGATATTTGATAAGGCACTATCGGGAATAAATGATGACATACATGTTATTTTAAAGCACTTTAAATTTGGTGAAACGTGACTAAAAGCAATAAAACTAATAACGAGTACTTGCATTTTTAACCAAAATTTCTTGAAAACTTTTGTAATCTAGCTTGAATCATAGATAAAGAAACGAGAATTTAAAAAAAACAAACTTTGATGAGAAAAAGTAATGAATTCCTAAAATTGAGTTCTTCGGTTCTGGGGTGTGTAGGACGGTATTTTTTATCAATTATATTTTCATTTAAAGATTAATAAAGATAAAAAATATATAATACTGGTTTTAAGATTTAATTATACTTATCTCTCAAATGCAAACGTGATTTGTTTTACTGACTATATTTTAAATCATCTTATAGTATTTGGATATATATTTGTCATATAAGGTTACTAACGTTAATTATAAGGTTACGAATACATATTATCGATTAATTTCGAAATTATGGATGCATAAAATATATTGGAAAGTGGGGTAAGACCATGTAGCTAAGATATAGAGGCCTATTTCAACTAAACTGCTCGACCCCAAAACTGTCAGATTTAATAAAAATGACAATTAGTTATGTACAATATATCATCCTTGTGCCTTGGTGGAGCAGGGGATAGAGCGTTCGCCTTCTAATAAGGTGAACCGCGTTCGCGTTCCAGTTACGGCTGGTCAACACGAATTCCACACCTGGCTTGCACCGAGCGAAGTGCTTACGTAAAATATCATCAGTGGTAGACGGAGCATGGGATAGAGTCCCCTTAAAGTCCGACTAGCCGTGGGAGTATTTCGTGGTTTTCCTCTGCATATAAAGCAAATGCAGTTTAGTTTCATAAAAAAGTCCTCCACAAGTGCAGATTTCTTCCAATACTTCATCCAAGAGTGTTCCCTTGTCCTATGAATTTTGTTCAAAATTACAGAACTACGTAGTTGAACATTAGTTGTCGTAAACCCAAAATTGGGTCGGCTGTTCAACGACGACACTAAAACATATCATTCTTGTACTGGGATACTTTTTATACAAATTATTTTCTGCTATAGAAAGCAAAATCTTCCGATCTTATCACATTTACCGGGGGCATATGAATATTCTATCAGAAATTTAGAAATACTAGAATTTTAGTGAAAAAGCTGCAGAAAAAGCTATCTTATAAGAAAATTTTGCACGATAATGTAACTTATGTGAATGTGATTACATAAATATTATGTACGACATTCAGATGTAAAAAAAATTATCTTCTCCCACCACTTTATTCAAGATTCCGTGGAACCAACAAAAACAATTTCCTTATTAGGTCCCCAATTCTCTTTTTTTAGTTAAGAAAATACATCATCGCACAATCAACACAATCAACATCTGTTTTATTTTTATCTTCTTCATCTTAAGAAACATCAATCATCATGGATTTAGGTTTTTCTGATAAAACTGTTTTGTTATATTGGTCCTTCATGCACTTCTCTTATTTCGTTTTGGTATTTTTTTTATCTTGAATCACTTGAAAGCAACTTTTTCGTCTTTGATATCATTTTTTTTTAAATCATTTAGTTTTCTTTATCCTGATTTTCTAAATCGGCATATATGGCAATTCCAGGTCTTACGCATAGCGTAGATGATATGGAAACGAAGGAGAGCCACGCTACTGCAGGACTAAATACTTATTAATTGTCAGTTTGTGAATCATTAGTAAACGTATAATAATTTGGTTTAAAAATATTTTCTATTATTGTAATCAGGAATAAATATGGACAGTTTAAAGGAAAAAGAAAATTGGAGAGTTGCTGAGCGGAAACAAATTTATTTACACATATGAATTTAATAACAAAAACATACTAATATGGTAGGTTCTTAATATTTTTTTTAAATATTTCTTCATCAATTGTTGGTGCAATCTGCACATTTGAACTAAAAATATTTAAAAAAAAATAGATTGTGGATTATTTCTCATGTTTGTACTTCAAACAAAAATAAAATATTCAAGATTCTAAAATGCAAGCATTATTAATAGTATATTACTAGTATCTATGACATAACAAGTATCTATGATTTCATACAAATTTATACTTTTCGTATATAACTTTAAAAATTTGCATACTGTTTATATGTTATATTCGACCATGTAATAGTTTTCTTTATGTGTAAAAAAAAAAGCTTAAATTTATATTTGACTCGTAGGGAAAATACATAAATAAAGGGAAAACATATGAAATATGAATAAATTCATTCTATTTCAGATAGCAGTGCAGGTGATTTTACATACGTTCATTCAAATAGCCGAGCTCACAGATACAACAATGGCACGCTAGTTTTGTCTGACTTGGATGAAAGTGATTCCGGATCCTATCTCTGTCAAGCAAATAATGGAATCGGTTCCGGACTCAGCAAAATAATATATCTCAAAGTTTTAGGTAATAAAAAAATACACAAGTAAATGCTCTTCAATTTCTATTTGAAGTGTTAATATTTTGCAGAATTTAAGGATTTACGAATTTCACGTGTTAATATTTTGCTGAATTTAAGGAAATACGATTTCTCATGAAAGTTTTAACGAAATGGTTAAATGGCTTTTTTTTACAATTCTCAGGCAGTTTTTAATTAAAAGAGAAAAAAAAAAGATAAAGTTTTGATGCACAAAAATAAATTTAAAATAATGTAAAAAATAAATGAGTTAAATAAAGCAGATTTTTAATCGTTTCCATCTTTTTATATTGTAATAAAACACTTTTTGTATCAAAATATAAACTGAAAAAAAAATCTGATTTTTAATTTTAATTTTTTTTTCTTCTGTGTCAGAAATGCAAAATTTAGTTTTCATCTATCTACCTGAGAGCAATTTCTTGGCAACAAATTATTTATTTGTTATTTTACTATATTCAACCAAAACAATCAAATAACAATAAAAATGAATGGTATTCAATCTGAGAAAATAGTTTATTGATTGTTTTTACTTAACACAGTTTAACAGCCAGTATTCTATCCGAGCCAACTTGGCCCAACTTTTAAAGCTATTTTGTTTCGTGCAGCTGACGAGTATATACTGTAGCTGAGAGGCTAATCAACCAATATCATTACAGTCTGAAAAGGGGTTTAAATCCCTGCTTTAATGCTACAATATTTTTTTCCATTCTTTCAAAACATGAAAATTTTTTGGCATCTTATACTCTTTAGTTAGTAACACTGGACTGTTAGAATACAAAGTTATCAATAACTTACAAAAGGCGTCTCACCCACAGGGCTCCAATGTCCGTTTTAGTTTTTGTATGGTTTAGAAATTATGCTAGTTGCAAATGGTCACTGATGTGTATAGTTTTGTATTTTTAATTGCGCCAGTTGTAAACGGACTCAAAACTTTTAATGTAAAGAAAAGTTCCTTATCTTAAAATTTATGGTTAATTGTATGGGCATACAGCTGCCAGTTATTTTACCGTAAATTCAGATTGATAACTCTAACAGTGTATTGGTCAAATGACTTTCCTAGCTGTAACTTGTTTGTAATTTCCTTACAGAATCGCTATTTCATTCGGCATTTGGCTGTAAAATATGATTTATTGTAGCATTAAAAAAGTATTAGGATCGCTCTGGTTAACAAATTCTTAGGCCAAACATAGAGGTTTTAAAAAATATGGCATTATTTTCCTTGAAATATGCTTAAATAAAATTTGCTAAGATATAAGCGATTTTCAATCATGGAAAGTAAAAATTTCAATTAAGAAGTGAAATGGGGGATGGATGGTAATCAAACGCACAATGATAATGATGCATAAAGACAATCGTGCATGAATGGTAATGTGGAATAAAATGGTCATTCTATTTAAATAAATTGAACCTTTAATCCATTATAAGAATATATCATTAAACTGAAGTGGAATAATGAAATATTTTCAAAAAGTTGAATTTGCCAACAATCGTTTGAAGATAAAAATCTAGGTTGAAATCTTTCAATGAAAAGTTTGTACTGACTTATTAATACTTTATAGACGTCTTCAGATAACTCTTAAATAGCAGCAACATAAACTTAGTGAAAATATACATCACAGTATTAATAAAAAATATGTATAATAATGGTGCGTTTACATTCCTTTGTACGGAAAGGGATAAAAATTATTTGTACTTTCTTAAATTGCTTTAACTTTATTTAATCAAATAGCTTTTTTTATAAAATTATACAGTCATTAAAAAGCAAGTATATTATTTCCTTAACGCTCACTTAAGTATGAGAACCAAATGCGATGCGCGCAATTAAAATCAAAAGTAAGGAAATATAATGCAATGAGTTTTTTTTGTGTAATTGCAGTGCCTCCCAGAGTAAAGGATCCGTATAAAACAAAAATAATAAATGAATATTCCGATGTAATTCTGATATGTACAGCAAACGGTGATCTACCAATGAAAATGAAATGGCTGAAGGACAATTTAGTTTTGAAGGCAGATGATGACGCGAGGTAAGCACCATAATTTTCTTCTACAAAAACCTATTAGAAATCGATTTCATTGCTCTCAATACTACATTATCTAAATTAATGTAGATTTAATAAGAATTATTAAATATAACCCTAGAATATAACATAAATATCATGTGTGGTAATTTTTACTTCTTCAGAAATAAACATTATCTTGAAGCGAAATTTATGGTAGAAATGTTCAATGCTATATATATATATATATATATATATATAAATTTTTTTTTCGAAATAAAAAAAATTATCCTTAGAAAAATTTTTTTCTTTATAATGTATCTATATCATATATATAAATAAAGTGCTTATAGCTTATATCAAGTAAAATAGTTGTTAAAAAACATATTTTGGAAGAATATGAAGTTAAATATATTTTAGTGCAAACTTCAAAAACTAACATTTTTATAATATTCTTTAGCACTTAAATATTATCTAACGGGCAATTTAAAGACAACATTGAACGCCGACATTTTTTATTTTATTTAAACATTTTATACACTTCTTATTTTTATGTATTTTCCAGAGATCAAAAAGTTAAAAAACTAAAAAAAAAAAAAAAAAAACAAAAAAAAAAAAGCAAGTAGGCTTTGAAATACCCAAAAACATTGCAGTTTAAAATAAAAAGGTAAAATTTTATAGGTCCTCGCTTCCCCATTTTTTTTTTCAAAAATGTTTCATAAAATTTTTTTAGCTACTCCAATGATAACTTTTATTTTCAGGTACGCCATCAGGGTTGAAACAAGGAAACTCGAAGCCACGTCTGAACTTCATATAACAAATGCGACTCGTAACGATAATGGGACGTACTCTTGCCACGCCGGAAATGATTTTGGAGTTGATGAGGCAGTCACTAAAATGATTGTTCAAGGTACTGTCTTTTTGTCTAAAAGAAGTGCAGACTTAATTTGACATTCTTTTTAAAGTAAAATAGGTTCATTTATTGTATTATTTCTAAATGAGTGTCTCCATCATCAGGAACACCTGCTCCACCATCAAATGTTACGGCCATGAACGTGACCAGTCGATCGGTCTACCTTTATTGGGATGTTTCAGACAATGGAGGCAGCCATATTACCGGAAGTATAGTGCAGTATCAAGTCATTTCCGGTAAGAGACCATTGCTGAAAATGTATATTACTTATGTCAATAAATAATACATCTATATATTTAGATCAATTTTTATATCATAGTTTCTTAATACAAATTTACTTTAAGTTTTTAATTCTCTGTGCCGTGTAATAATTTCATATAGATCAAAAATTAGATCATTTTGATGAAAATTGAAACTATTTTGATGAAAACTGAAAGGGGGCAGTATCACATAAGAACTTCACAAATGCAAATTTTTAAAGAATTTTTTCTCAGAGATTGTTCAGCTGATTGCATTCAACCTTTGGTTTTTCTTGATTTAAAAGTATACAATTTACAAAAAAAATTATGTCGTTAAAGTTAAGACTTATTATATATTTGATGTATTAAATTATTAAAATAGATATATATTTTTTTAAAATTTTTTTTTACTAATGACTACCTGTGTTAACATCCCTCAATTCAGGCATATGCAGGGTGATTTTGTTGACCTCTCTTTCAGGGACACCATATTACCATATTAGGCAGGTTATTAAAAAAAATTTATATGTAAATAACACGATTAAAGAAAAATAATTGCCTAAATATTTAATACTTTTAAATATCGCCACAGGATACATATGAATGAAGGAAATCAACACATATGAATAATACCTATGAACAAGGGAAATAACCGTTTACACTTTTAGCTCTCTTTTTTCTTTCTACTTCATTTCACTTCACTCTTGAGACTATATTTTTCTGATAACGGTAGCCCTCATTTTACATTTTTTCAGTGTCAACAATTTAAACCCAATAAAATTAAGGCTGTTTCTTCAGTTTAAAATAGATTTCTTACTCGGCAGGGCTACTTAAAAGATTGGCCTAAATAATTAATCCACGTTTTTAAATTATAGAACTGGAAATACAATACGTCTTGTTTATTTTTTCAAGGATTGCGCATTGTGCGCAAATTATAACAATTCAATTAAAGCAATTGATTTTTGAACTTATTCAATAGAAATTAAATTTTGAGTACTTTCCTTCCAAATTGTTCTGTTGCTTTTACTGCTGGTCGAACATTAAAAACGAATCGCAAAAATTCTTAATACGTTAGAATGAACAAAACACCGTTCTTCCACTGAAAAGAATTAAAAATTTAAATTTTTTAATGATTCATTGTTTTTTTTTTACTCCTGAAAACATTTCAATATCAATGATCCAATCATACTTATTCCTTAGGTGATTGATTAAAGATAAATTTTTAACTAAAATACTTACTTGTTTACTTATTATACTTTTAGAAAAAGAATGGAATGATCGGACATCCCAGCTCATAGTATCTGGATCCGACTCAAGAGCTGTTTTAAGAGGCTTAAATCCTGCCACTGCATATTTCATTAGAGTGATTGTCCAGAATTCGGTTGGAAAAAGTAAACCCAGTGAAATTATAGAAATTATAACCGAAGAAGAAGGTATTCTTTGTTTTCGATGTTTATACTCTAAAAATTACAATTATCTGAACTAAACTTTTTCATAGCGAGGAGGGGCGCATACTATTTCCACATTACTTATTATGTCCAAAGTAAAAAAGATTAACAACCCAAAACACAACTTTTATTAAATATGTGTTAGACAGAGAATTCAGTAAAAAATACATAATTTCTTCGCATTTCCAATTTTCCGTTTTATGAGACCCATATATGTGAAAAATTATAACACATAAACAAAAATTTAAAAGCTATTTACTAAATAATATATATATATATATATATATATATATTTATATTATATTTTTAAATTGATATTTAGTAATTCATAACATTCATAACATTAAACTCAACAGAACAGAAATAAAATTCAATTTGCAAATTAATCCTTCAGATATTTGAAACAAAACCAAAGCAGCCTTTTCTTTTGTTATTTGTATATATTATGCTCTTTCAAACACATTTATTGCCTATTTAGTTATATTACAGTATTTGGTATTATGGTATAGAATATTGCGGCATATAATATTTTATTCTTTTAGTAAACTGCAGCTAAAAATTTATAAAATTATATTCTTTATAGTTCCTTCTGGGCCACCTTTGGAAGTCCATATTCAGTCTACAGGAGCTCATTCGATGAGAATTTTGTGGAAGGTAATGATTAAAGAATTTAATTTCGGTCATCAAATCATATTTCTTAAAATCGTATTACAAACATATTATAACAAGAAGCATTTAAATTAAACACATAAGATGCAAATATAATTCTAAGCTATGTGGTTAAAAAATCAAAGGCTATTATTATACAATTATTTATTTTTGAAAGTAATCATTGCAATAAGACAGTATACTTTTTTTACAGATGATAAAAAAAGTTAATGCGAGTTATAAGCAATTACAATCATGAAACGAGTAAAAATTAAACTTACATTTGAAATAAAAAATTAGGCAAGAATTATTTTTTAAATCCATAACTTCTTCATTATTAATATAAAACTTATGACATTCCTACATCATATCATTTATACTAATCATTCTCTGTCTTATAGCATAAATGATTCTTGCTAACTAATCTTTTTCTAATTAATCTCTCTGTTGTACAGATGGTTTTATAAATATTATAATCATGAGTGACAAATCAACTTATGAAATTAACTTAATTAACACAAATAATTATTTAAATATACATGATGGTATCAAAGTTTAACTCTTCGTTCTAAAATTACAATATAGCCTAAAGAAAATTATTGTTCAACGTAAAACTTCCAATATTTTTTTTAAAAAGCAAGCATTGAAATCAAAGAGTGTACTATTTTTTTACAGATGTAAAATGTAAAAAATAATTAATGCGGTTTATAAGCAATTACAGTCGAAAAAAATAATTTAAACTATTTAATAATTAAAGAGATTGTGGTGAAAGAGATGAAAATTGTGTGTGATGATACTACCTGAATTATGTTATTTATATCCTTCTTTGATCTTATTATCCACACATACTAAATATACTTTAAATAATTATATATTACAGATTTTAAATATTGAGTTTAAATTTCAAATATTTAAACAGATATTTTCCCCGAAGCAATAAATACCTTAGAAGCATTTTAACGAGACAGTTTTTGTCTGTCTGTGTTCTTCATTTTTAACGATGATAGTATATATACTTTTTTCTTCAAAAATGTGCACATAGTAATATCTTTAATTAAAAAAAATGCGTTTAATAAGTAACTACTGTTAGCAAAACTAATAGTTCAAACAAAGCATCTTCCTTATTAAAGATATTGAATTTAGTTTATTATGAATCACATAAGCCGAAATTCGAATAACTAGGCATAAGACTAATTAATTCAGCCACTATATTTTTTCAGTAAGCTGAGGAATTGTTTAAACAGTAAAAAGAAAATTTATAATATTAAATTAGTATGTATTCATTATTTTAAATTACATTATTTCAATTTGGATGGGAGAAAAATATAATTTTAATGAAAGTTTCATATAACTATTAACTTATTTCCTTTTTTTGCGATTTAAGGATTTTATTTGAGTATTAAAAATTATAATACAGGATTGCTATTCATAAATAAATTAATGAAAATTAAGCGTAATTTCTTTTTTAATTAAAATGTAACTACGTTAGCGGGCGTAACTTTCCTACTTTAAATATTTTGAAATTTTAATGCTGGAATCAACATCGAAATAAAAAAATAAATTTTTTAATACATTTTACTAATTTTATATTTACTATATGTTCTTATATAGGTTTTGAAACGCTTTTAACATTTTTCTTTGATTTCAGCCTCCACTTGACGAATTACAACATGGGATACTCAAAGGCTATTATGTTGGTTATAAGCCATCTTCTTCATACGATAATTACACTTTTAAAGCAGTTAATCATAAGAGCAAGATTGGACAACAATCCACGTATATAACAGAACTAAAACCATTCACAGAATATGATATTTTCATCAAGGCATTCAACTCAATTGGAGCGGGACCAGATTCGACTGAAATTATGGGAATGACTTTAGAAACAGGTACAAACTGTTATTTCTGTTCTATATTCACCTATTACTATCTGAAATTAGAAAATAGAAAGAATAAAATAATGCATTTATTTGTAAAGGGAAAATAAGGAGAATAAAACGAAAATATCTGCGTAAAAAATATAAATTGATTTTCCAAAGCTCAGAAGCAATTCATAAAATATCTGCACTCATTTGTAAAAATCATTGAAACCAGAAATTGATTTTTACGAAGGAGTTATATTTTTTAAATGTAAAATTTAATTTCGATCGATTCAAAATTTAATTCAATTCAAAAAGTTAAAGTGTACGATCGAAACATTTTTATAGTTTCTTAAAATTTATCGCTTTGAAAGAGAGATCCAGGTTTATCTGAGGAAAAACAAGCAATCGTGCAAAATACAAATGATAATTAGCCTCTAATCGCTTGGTGAAGGAAGCCCCAGTCGTATTTTATGTTGTCTGTGAAGTTACATTGGCTAAACCTGTTTACTGAATATACGAATAATACGAATAATGCTAAAACTATGCGATTATAATGCTATACGAATAATGCTAAAACTGACCTTTTCCGACGTACCTTTTCTCAGCATCTACACAAGATATTGCTTCATTTTTTTCACTGAATATTTACATATACATGTTTAGACTGTGATAACATAAAAAGTTTCATTATTTTTGATCAAACATCTTTTATTGCTAAAAAAGTGCTCCTGTTAATGCTAAAACATTATCATAGCATACAACCTATTTAATCTCATATATCTCCACAGATCTCAAATTAATATCATAAGTAGTTTCTTAGGAAAGGCACATCGGTCAGCTTTATCTTTATTGATATATGCCCTACTGACTCCAATTAATTTTAACTACAGCTCCAGTAGTACAGTAGTACAGTAGTTCCGTAAATTCCACCCTTGATATCAATTTTTAGGATTTTTATCAAATATTAAAATACAAAATTATACACATTTAAGACCTCAAATGTAATAATCACCATAACAGGTATAATTAGAGGCTAAAATTAAATACGTGCTTCTAATAAATAATCGTCAACTCCTCGTTGTTTTCTCCGGTTATATAACTCGTCTTGTTTCTCACTAGACCTGGCCGTCTGCATTGAATTTGTGTTAGATTTAATAGCGTATTGCTTTTTCTTCGAATTAAAATTAATTTTCAATCTCCAATGCTTATATTTTAATGTTTTCATTTTTAATGAGGATTCTAGAATTGAATATTAAAGGTGGTCTTTCCGGAGCATCCTGACATGTGGTTGCCAAGGCGGCCTAACACATTCAGAAACGAGGAGAGGTGTGTCTAACCCCATTTCACTGACATTTCAATATATTAAGTACGCTCTTCACTACACGAATATTTGATGTTAGTCAGGAAAATTCCGTCCTTAGGTAAACGAATTATTCCGATTATAACGTTTTCCTCCTACTATCAGATGCATCATACTTAATAAAAAAAGTATGATTTAGTGCTTAGAAATAATGTTCAAACACTATTACTTGTGAACAAGTATGAGTGCTTTAAGGCAATTAAATATGCTTTGTGTATTTTTCATAACTTTTTTATATGGTAAAAACTAGTGACTGACTAGAATGAATACGATTGCATAGATAAGAGTTATGTTATTGCTCTTAAAAGGTTATTTTGCATATTTTTCAGAACCGACATCGTATCCAGCGTATGGAAAAAGTGAAACAGACGTACCATTTTACATGAACGTAACTTTAGTGATATCCATTGTAGTGTCATCACTTGTGTTAGTCATTCTAATACTCATCATTATTGTATGTTTGAGAAAACAGTCTAGGCATGGTGATGAAGATTCTGGTAAGCACTAAATATTCGATATTTAAATAATAAATTTTTATCATCATTTTCGTAAGCTTTGTTTCAATCAATTTAAAACAGTCTTAAGAAATGTTTCGAACATAATATTTCTTGTAACTGATTGCTTAAATGCATGGAAATTTTTAAAAGTGTGTGTTCATTCGGCTTACTATAAAAGTTATAATGTTTGAGGCTCTTAAATATTTTGAAAATAGTATCGTTTTTTTTCCTTCAAAAATGAAGTAATCAGATAATAAATAGTCCTCCAAAACTTTTATTGAGTTTTAATAAAAATAAATGCTAACATATGGAAGTGAAGAATTACAAAATTTTCGTTAGTTCAAAACTGCAATTATTCATATTTTACCTTTTTTTCTTTTGACAGATTATGAAGCTACAAAGGATTTGTCTTTGATGAATGAGATCAATAAACAATTTTATATGAATTCAGAAAAAATTCCATATCCTTCAGGTAATGCATAGATATAATCCAAAGCATTTAAGTTAGTATTTAATTTATTATCGCCATATTATTTTGATGTACGTTTCATCATTGAGAAGAAAAACAAAGATTCCAAATACGTACTCAACGAAAACAACTTCTAGTTAAATTAACACGCTATGTGGTATTGACATTTATGTTAACGAACAAACTTAATTTGGGTAGTAGAAACCAGCTTTTAGGTAAAAGTTACCGAGATTTTTCGTGTTCCCATCGAGTCTAAAACAAGGAGAATTTTACCATTTTTTGTTAGTTTCAACCATATTTATTTCACAGTGCTCATAGTTAAACATAAGTAGTACGCTATTTTCTTATGTAACTAATGTTAAATAGATTTCAGAGTCGTTATTACATTATAATTTATCCTTATTTTAAAATATATAAATATTTATGCTCAACAAAACTGTTATTTGTTTGTTTTTTGTCGTTTCATCAGTTTGCTGGGAATTTCAAATAAACTGATTGATAGTCATAAACAAAATATTTGTAGAAAATTCAAATTTACTTATAAATTTTTCACTTTTTATATATTTTAGTGGATAAAGCTGATTTTGAAGATCGATATGTGCGTATAGAGCCAGTTTCAATCAAAAAGGTAAGAACATAAGAAATAACCGTCGGTATTTATATATAAATAAATATATAAAAAGCGCTAAAATTTCCCACTTTAAAAAATCAACACTTATTAAACTGAGTAAAAACATTTCAATTTAGTTAAAAAAAATGTGTTGAAGAATTTATAAAACAGTACATGGAAAACAGCTTATGAGTTTCATATGATATGACAGCATATGACTGCGTTTTATCAAAGTAATTGCTGACAGAGAAAATTCATATTAAAATGAAAGCGAATATTGTGTCAATTGAGAAAGTTTTAAGCAATTTAAAAATGTGTTATTAGTGTGCAGCGATTATCTAATTAAACTCATTGACTATTGTTTTTATTTCAAAGAAGTAAATAAATAATTCAAAGACAAGTATTTGGAACGAAATATATCTTAATGTTTTTTATTATTCTATTATTTTCTTTAGTTTAGGTTTTACTTTCAAAAATTTGTGCAAACCTCCACCTATAATTATTCGCTAATCTATTATTTAATATAAGTATGGAATATAAGGACTTTCTTAAATATAGTCTTGTAACAGGAATCTGTATTTGCTCATAATTACCCATCGGAACAAGGAAAACGAAAAATATATTTATTAAAGCATATTTTATTTTTATTGCCAACGAGTAAAAAATAAAGTTGCATTTGAACTAAAAATTTAGGCATGAATTATTATATAAATGCATAACTTCTTCGTAATAAATATTAAATTTACGACAGGCCTACTTCAAAATAGTCATATTAATTATTCTCCGCCTCTTACAATAAAATATTTCTCTCTGGATATTCTTTTGTTTCAATTAGTTTATTGTAGACGTGGTTTAATAAATATTATATACGTAAGTGACAAATTAACTGATGAAAATAATTTAATTATTACAAATAAATATTTAGATATACAAGGGATACTTGACATTAACTCTTCATTCTTACATTATAAAATGGCTGAAAATAAATTAAAGCTTGCGGCGCAATTTTTAGAGTGAGTTTACAATTTACTGAGACCTTTACTTTTTAAGAGAAGCTTATTTGTCACATTATTTTACCAATCTATGACAAAACTAAGCTACATTATAATGGAGATAGAACAGCATAATCAATTTATAATTTCAATTATAAAAATGATAATGGAATAAAATGTCTTATTTTAAACATTATTTAAATTTAATTGCCAAGAAAACTTTTTATGGAAAAAGGGGTTTGATATCATTCAACCTGATGTAAACAAATTCCTGGCTTTAAGCAGTTCGAAGCAAAATAAAAACTTCCCGCACAGCTGTTGAGTTTAAGTTTGTTCTGAAAAGTAATCGTCGCTATAGTAATGGTTAGAAATTAACTGATGCTTACGATTTTTAAGCGCTGTCGGAAGTTTCATGAATGCGAATGTCCTTAATACTCCAGAAATTTCGAATCTGAAATTTAACAGAAGTACTCGATTCGTTAAAGAATCAAGTGTCATTTCTTACCTGCAAATTTTATGTATCTAATATTTAAGTAAATTTGGCTAATTACAATACATTTTGAGTACTTTCTTTAGAGCTACAAACTTATATTTTGCAACTGTAATTTATACTGTAACGCGATGCTTAAATGTTTTAATGCCTTAGTTTATTTTATGACCGATAAATAAAAAAATGACTAGTATTGTAACCTTTATTACTCAAATTCGTGTCCAATTTTTATTCCAATCAATAATGTAAGGAAGATATTTGGATCAAGCAAAAGACAAACTTTTTTCTTAGCAAACATTTTGGTAACAGCACTTATTCCCACTGCCCAAAAACCAATGAGATCCATTTTCAGCTGATGACTTTGGTGGGGGGGGGAGGTATTGCATATCAGAAATGCAGGCATTACAATTGTACGTATTATGAAAAGCAACCCGCTGTGACTTAAATGCGAACACCTGGATTCTTAGATATTTCTCTCAAAATAATATCGGCTATTATAATATATATATATATATATATGT